GCCCTCGAAGGCCGATTTCATGTTGAGGCAGCGGTTGGTTGGGGACTCTGGTGACAGTATTATTTGTCAGAACCGTTCTCTGGGTCACAAGCATTTTTAATTAAAGTTGTCCTATCAATAGCTCGTATTCATTTCCTCTGGATCTCACAAATCAGTAGAGACTGGGAGTGATCCGCTTAGGTCAGGACATCTAGCCAGATGAGGTAAATGAAATTGAACTTGAGGGATTAAGGATACTCCTTTTTAAGATAAAGGCATTGCCCTTCCAGAGAAGGTGGAATTTGTTTTAAATAAACATCTAGAAGGTATTTTTCTCCTGCAGTGGTGGTCCCTTTAGTTTTTTAATAAGTGGAGTTAATCATTCTTTGAAATTTACAGTCAAATGAAAGGACAAGAAAGATAGACATTGAAAACATTTGTCATAGAGCCAGAGTCTTGAGACTGTCCTTGGGGGTTACCGAAGGTATGGGATGTGATTCCTTGCTCTAGACATGGATGGTCTTTTAAATCCCATTACTTCTTTGGACTTTGAAAATTGCATTCCTGTGGAGACCCAGCTCATAAACCCCAAAATGGGTTTTAGATGAAAAAGGTGATCTCTTTGCCTATTCTGGAGCAACAAGAATGTGGGGAAAAGGTAAAATTAAGTCAGGTATAAGAGTAATTGCACTTGAAAACTGTGGTATCTGACTTTAGCAAGTTAGAATGTGAGGACGTCAGTTTTATTCCTTTCAGGAAAAACACCTTTCAACTCTCCCAGTTTGGTTATAAGGATGTTTTAAAGATCTCAAGTAGCTGCAGATTTTTTTCATGCATATCTTCGTATTACACAGCTGCTGGTGTTAATGGTAGCCAGTGTTTCCAGGCATTTGGTTTATGACAGCTGTAGAGAATCTGTCTGTATAAACACCAGTCTGGGTATCACTCCTGGTTGCCTTCCAAGAACCTTGTGCTTCTCCTTTTGTGACACTGTCACCGTATATCACAGTGTCTCCTTGCCTGAATCCCTCTCCGTTGTCTTTGTGGGCAGGATTGTCTGTCTCACCCACTCTTCTGTCTCCATTATATATTGACATGTGGGAGGTGCTATTACTTATACCACTGGGAGATAGATGCCAAAGACATGGGGCTGAATAAAACAAAATACATCTATTTAAGGAGCTCAAAGACAAATGAACTAAGGAATACAACTCAATGTGAGCAGTGTAGTAAAGAGGTACATACAGATGCTCTAGAGCTCAGGTGCCCTGGCGTTGCTACTGAGTCCACGTCAGGCATCACAACCCTGTCCACGTGGCATTTTAGCCTACAGTTTCAAATTCCTTTCCCATCAAATCTCTTTAGTTAACTCCATATGAGAAAAAAATAACTAACTTGGGTGTTCTTCCTTTTAATTTTTCTTAATCATCTTCTGATATGGAGGTCAATAAACAATTTCTTAGAGGCAACCAGAAAAAAAAATACCCTGGCTAATCCTAAACTAGTTAATCAGTTCCTAAAAATCTTGAGTTTCTTGTGTTACCATTTGACCAGTGTTAGTGTTTGACACTAATGCCATCTGTTTTTAAATGTGCTCATGAAATACTACTCCTAGTAGTAGTAATAAGAGTAGAGGCCGGGCTTCCCTGGTGGTGCAGTGGTTGAGAGTCCGCCTGCCGATGCAGGGGACACGGGTTCGTGCCCCGGTCTGGGAAGATCCCACATGCCGCGGAGCGGCTGGGCCCATGAGCCATGGCCGCTGAGCCTGCGCGTCCAGAGCCTGCGCTCCGCAACGTGAGAGGCCGCAACAGTGAGAGGCCCGCGTACCGCAAAAAAAAAAAAAAAGATTAGAGGCTAACATGACAAATTGCTGACTGTTTGCTAGGCATTGTTCTCAGGGCTTCACCTGTTTTAATCCATTTAATCCTCAGAACAACCCTCTGAAATAGGTACTATTTTTATCCCTTTGTTACACTTGGGTACATAGAGGGGAAGTAAGGTCACAGGGACAGTAAATGGTGGGGTTAGGATTCCAATCCATGTAGCCAAGCACTGGCAGCCCAATTCTTTTTTTTAAAATTTTATTAAAGTATAGTTGATTTATAATGTGTTAATTTCTGCTGTACAGTTATACATATATATACATTCTTTTTTTTATATATTCTTTTCCATTATGGTTTATCATAGGACATTGAGTATAGTTCTCTGTGCTCTACAGTAGGACCTTGTTGTTTATCCATCCTGTATACAATAGTTTGCCTCTGCTGATCCCAAATTCCCATTCCTTCCCTTCCCTACCCCCTCCCCCTGCCTTGGCAGCCAAAAGTCTGTTCTCAATGTCTGTGAGTCTGTTTCTGTTTTGTAGTTTTGTTCATTTGTGTTGTATTTTAGATTCCACATACAAGTGATATCATATGGTATTTGTCTTTCTCTTTCTGACTTACTTCCCTTGGTATGATAATCTCTAGGTCCATCCATGTTGCTGTAAATGGCATTATTCCATTCTTTTTGAAGGCTGAGTGATATTCCATTATATATTTTATATATATATTATATATATGCACACACACTACATCTTCTTTATCCATTCATCTGTTGATGGGCATTTAGGTTGTTTCCATGTCTTGGCTATTGTAAATAGTGCTGCTATGAACATAGGGGTGCATGTATCTTTTTTTTAAAATAAAGTTATTTATTTTATTTATTTATTTTTGGCTGCATTGGGTCATCGTTGCTGCACGCGGGCTTTCTCTAGCTGTGGTGAGCGGGGGCTACTCTTCGTTGTGGTGCACGGGCTTCTCATTCCTTCTCTTGTTGCAGAGCACGGGCTCTAGGCGTGCAGGTTTCAATAGTTGTGGCACACGGGCTCAGTAGTTGTGGCTCGCGGGCTCTAGAGTGCAGGCTTAGTAGTTGTGGCACCCAGGCTTAGTTGCTCGGCGGCATGTGTGATCTTCCCAGACCAGGGCTTGAACCCCCATCCCCTGCACTGGCAGATGGATTCTTAACCACTGCACCACCAGGGAAGCCCCAGCATGTATCTTTTTGAATTATAGTTTTGTCTGGATATATGCCCAGGAGTGGGATTGCTGGATCATATGGCAGCTCTGTTTTTAGTTTTATGAGGAACCTCCATACAGCAGCCCAATTCTTAATTACTATGCCATGCTTTCTATAGCAATTACAGAAAACATGTGCTGAATGAATGCGTAAATGAATACATATGCAATGGTACTCTCTATTACTTCGATTGGAGTCTTAGGAAATTTGTGTCTTGCCCGTCTCCATTTAACACACACGCATGCACACTCACCAATTTGCTAGATCTACAGTGGGTGATACCTTCGGAAAGTTTTTCTTTTCTTCAGTAGATTGAAAGAAGACATTTTGAGATTTTTCATTCATCTCTAATTTTCTTTTGAGTTTGACAGTTTGTTGAGCTTGGCAACTGGAAAACACACTTTTAGAAACGTGGAAATCCATTTTTGCTGGACTATGGATTTGTAATTCAAATAAGAGAAATTTGCCAAATTCAAACCACATTTTGTTCCCTAGATGGTACTTAAATATGTGGATTTGAAGAGATGGCATTGGTCATTCCACAGAGAGTCAAGTGTCTTCGCCTTTCTGAGTCAAATCAGATTTAGGCTTATTGGCTTATTGCTAAGCACTCAGGGCATTTTTATTCAGAAGCTCAAGGTGTCAGGTCTGAGAAGAATGATGCTGTACATTCTCTTTTCATGTGTCTGGTTGAATGCTTAGTACTAGTAACTTCTGATAAAATTATGGACGGTGTCCATGATCAGAGCACATGAAAGGAAAAGTTGCTTTGTGATTTATGCCAAACCATTGCCTTTCACCTGACCTTCATAGCAGTACTAGGAAACTAGGAAATGGTTTACTTGTGAGTCATTGTTAGAACCTGAGTGATTTCATTTCATTTGATTCATTAATTAGGTGTTACCTTATACATTGTAAAAGAAAGTGTGACATGACAGTCTCAGATGGTTGTGGAAAATGTGCCTAAAGACGAATTCAGAATTATTGAAGTGTGTTAAAGTGGATTGTTAGAGTAGAAGACCAAAACAACTAGAAAAAGATCCCCTGAGGCTGTGGCAATTGATCTGGGCCTTGCCACAAAGGGAGGAGTTGGAGGTGTGCCTTTGAGGGGCCCTATATTCCTGTTGGAGGGAACAGCTCAGAGGTGGAAAGGGCGGGGTGATAAGGGAAGTAATGAATGGTTTGGTGGACTACAGAAATATTTAGAGTAAAGAAAGGATAAGGCAAACCCCTCCCATAATCAACATCAGCCTCCCCTCCCACTTCCTTCCCCAAAACCTCCCCAAATAAATCATACAATATAGGTAAGAGAGCTAGCTATGCAAATGCAGCTGTGTCAAATAGCCAGGCCTCCCTATCTCCCAGTGAGATTGCCACCTCGGAAGGCATTCCTATATGAATGGATCACACGTATTTTCGTCCAGAGAGTTACTGGGGTGGAGGGCATCCCATTCAAATATCCATTTTGAGGCTTTTTCCAGCTGTAGGGCAAATCCTTCCAGATACTGCTTCTTAGTAAACATCAGCTGGTTTGCGCTGAAGGAGCTAAACACAAGTATGAGTCTTTGGTATGTGTGCAGTTGGCACTGACTTTAATTCAAAGTACATAGTGTTTGGACTTCCCTGGTGGTGCAGTGGTTGCGAGTCCGCCTGCCGATGCAGGGGACATGGGTTCGTGTCCCGGTCTGGGAAGATCCCACATGCCGCGGAGCGGCTGGGCCCATGAGCCATGGCCGCTGAGCCTGCGCGTCCGGAGCCTGTGCTCCGCAACGGGAGAGGCCACAACAGTGAGAGGCCCGCGTACCGCAAAAAAAAAAAAAAAAAACATAGTGTTTGATCTTGGCACCTGTTGCATAACAGATGCTCAGTAAATTATTTTCTGCTCTTCCCACCTCCATTATTCAGTTTATTGTTGATTTTTTAAAAAAACTTTCTCATGTGTTTTTCTTTGTTCTCTTTTAAAGGAGAGGTTTAAGGAAGCTGAGGAAATATACCAGGCTGGAATAAAGAACTGCCCAGATAGCTCAGACTTACACAACAACTATGGAGTTTTCCTAGTTGATACTGGTAAGCGAGATTAAAGAGAACCTGTTCTGTGGAGATGAGATAATATTATCTATCAAGCTAAATGGCAACCACGCCAATAATGCCTCAAAAGTAGAACTCACTGGGCTTGGCAGGAAGCTCACACCGTTGACAGTCACAGTGTACTTTGGGGCTGTCATTTCTCTAAATCTTCAAGCTCAATTCAGTAAAATCTGCCGGTTCTTATAATCAGATTGCTAAGAAAATCTCCCCAGGTGGCAGGAAGTGGCCTTGATGATTTAATGAGCAACAGTCTCCTTTGAATAGCATTTATACAAGTTTATAAATCTATGATGATGAACTGTTCTCTACAATGATGCAGAACCTGCCTCTGAATCTATTTACTGGCAGATGGTAAATACTTCTCTACAGCCGATTAAAAAGTCTTAAATTGTTTCATTGTTCTTTATGTGATACATACTATAGAAAATGTACCATTATAATTGATAGAGTACCCTTATAGGACAGGTGCTATATAAAATACACTTTACCTTATTTAATGTAAAACATTACTGGGCAGGAATTCTGTTTTCTTTATGGTTTGTACCCCATATACTGTTGGCATGTTATGAATACTTGTAAAGAATGAAAAGATGCTTGAATTTAATACAAAAACACTGCTTTGTTCTCGTTGACTATTAGACTACCTGCCCTGTAATAAAATTCGATTTTAATTATTCTGTCCATATGAAATGCTCAAAAGGGTTTTTATTTTCTAGGATATTTGAAGCCCTTCTGTTTCTTAGGACATAAATTTACATTCTGATACACCGAGGAAACATCCCTTATTTTCACATGTAAAATTGTTTCTTAGTGCCACCTGCTGGTTCTTTGGCAACATAATAATAAATTAGGTATCAAAGATTAAAAACAAACAAAAAATTGAAGAGACCACCTGTTGGCCTGATCTAGCCCTCTTCCTTCTACTTCAACAACAAAATATCCCACCCCAACTCCCAGCCCCCCAAAATCTCACTGACCACCCTCTATATTTTCCTACCACTCCCACTGTGTTCTGTTTTTATACTACTGAAATTCTCCCTATCATGACCTATACATAGACCTCTACGTACGTAGTCTTTTTTGGCACCTCCTAGTCAAACTTGCATTCAAAGAAGGTAGACTTGAGAAGATGTCTGTGTGGGTAATAAACATGCCATTGCCATGTAGAGCTTCAGACTTGTCCACAATTCATTCACTTACATATAATTTCACTAGGAAGCTTCTTTGGGGAACCTTATCATACTAGAGAGACTTGATGGTAGTTCTGACCTTTATTCTCACTTCCCCTGGGATTTTTGTCAAGTTTCTTAATGTTTTTGCACTTTAGAGCCTGTATCTATAAAGTGATAATATTTTTTTAATATCTTTTAAATCCCAAGAGGCAACTAAGTGCTATCAAAAGGCAGCTAAATAGGATCAAAATACCTGCAAAAATCATGAGATCATTTAATTAGTGTTTTAAAATATACAGTGCATTGCACAAATGCAAGGTGATATTATTTTTATTTTTAAAGTCCCATTCAATACATACCCTTTAAACAAAGATGTATGATTAAAAAGAGATTTTCAAAATACAGAAGATGCCTGCTTATTTAAAGCAGTGCCTCAATCACTAGGTTGTGTATAGTAATTGTGACAGACCCTCAGAAATTACTTCAGGACAGTTTTCTTTCTATAACAGCCCATTCCACTTTTTGTATAATGAGAAGCAACAATATCTTACATAAATGCCAATCATTGATAATCTCAAAACATCATATTAACTAAGGCAGTGGCCAGAAACCAGTTTGACTAAAATAATACATTTAATAAAAGAAACAGGTTTTAGTTTTTACTGCTTTTTTACTACTAATTTCTTTGGAAGTGAAAATGAATAGTGAAATGGTCCAAAGTTAGGCAGTGGCAAGGAGAAGCCAAAATGTGAGCTAATTTACAAACTGAATAATTGGTGGTATGGCTGTAGGAAAAAAAGATCATCAGAAGAGAAATTAAAGAGGCCATGTGTTTAGGGACTTCCCTAGTGGCACAGTGCTTAAGAATCAGCCTGCCAGTGCAGGGGACATGGGTTCAATCCCTGATCCAGGAAGATCCCACAAGCCGTGGAGCGACTAAGTCCGTGCACCACAACTACTGAGCCTGTGCTCTAGAGCCCGTGAGCCACAACTACTGAGCCCGCGCTCCTAGAAGCCGTGCTCCACAACCAGAAGCCACCGCAATGTGAAGCCCGTGCACCGCAACCAGGGAAAGCCCGCGTGCAGCAACAAAGACCCAATGCAGCCAAAAAAAAAAAAAAAAAGTCTGTGTGTTTTATAATTAAGGCATGTTCTGCTCTTACCAACCTACCACCTGTTGATTACAGGCTCTCCAGAGAAGGCAGTGACCCATTACCAACAGGCCATCAGACTTAGCCCGAGCCATCATGTAGCCATGGTGAACCTGGGGAGACTCTACAGGTCACTGGGAGACAACAGCATGGCTGAAGAATGGTACAAACGGTAAAGTTCCTGTTTTTCACTTTGTAAGTCATCCTAAGACCTCTGCAATTGGCCATCAAATTCTTAGTTATTTGGAACAGATGCTTTCAAAATACTAGCAAATTTTGCCAATGCAGGCAATACAGATTCTCCTCTCCAAAGAGAACAGTACAATAAATGGCACTTTGGGGATAAATGATATCCCACTTAATGACTTTTTTGCCTGCTGGTTAAAGCATAGTGCTAAACCAAGGTTGGAATTTAATTCCCATTTTAGTTAGTCCATTGTTTTCTGTTGGAGCTAAGGACTACAACCCAAACCACAAACAGAAATTTCGAAAATGGATCCAGATGAAAAACTGTGCATACATCAAAACAAGTCTATCACCATAAATGGGAAAGATCCTTGGGGCTCAGTTTGCGTATTGGTGGGTCACTAGAGACATGCTTATAGTCAGAGGCTGGCACTGTGATCTTTTTTTAACATTCTTCTTGATATAAAAACAACCACCATGGGGGAGCAGAGTCTCAAACCGGGTACAGTGGTCCCTAAATCTCAGTTTCAACCTTTGGAGATGTACCTGTTAGAAGAAAATTGTCCATTTGTTTTCTCAAAATTCAGCGCCTTGCAGGTGACACGCAAAGCTGAGATATTATCACCGTTGGGAGCTCTATATTACAACACTGGCAGATATGAAGAGGCTTTGCAGATTTACCGGGAAGCTGCATCCCTTCAGCCTTCCCAAAGGGAACTCCGCCTGGCACTGGTGAGCAGATGGACAAAAGAAAGGAAATGGAGTAGGAAATACACTCATGGCATGCAATACAGGGAGCTGTAGTCAGTATGCCTCAAAATGGGAACTAGAACACTATACTATATCCATTTAATGAATATTCATATAACCAATGTTAGAGCCATTCACCAAACACATGGACCCTAAAAACGCTATTAAGTTTTGTTTTGAAATAATTTCAAACTTACAAAAATTTGCAAGAATTTTAAATAACTCCCATATACTCTTTCACCCAGATGGATGAATTTTTAGCACTTTGATGCATTTGTTTATCATCCTCTCATGTATGTATGTATGTGTATATGTACACATATGTATGTGCATATTCAGGTATGTGTATGTGCATGTACCTACTATTAACACATGATATTTTGTCTTGAGCCATCTGAGAATTAGAGATCTCATACCCTTTATTTCTAAATACTTCAGCAAATAGTTCCTAAGAACAAGGACATTGTCTAACCTAACCACAGTACAACTATCAAATTCAGGAAAATTAATATCAACAATATTTTTTATTTCAATTTTTGGATCATTACTCTTCCTTTCCCTTAGATTTTCAGTAAAACAAACTTGTTATCTTGTTATAAACACAGTGTTCTGTTGAAACCATAGGAAAAAATTTCTCTTGACATAGTCAACTTTTTTAAAAAGGCACAAGTCACTGAATGGCTTTGATGTTCCTGCCATTCACACACAAATGCATGCACATGCCTAAACAAAGAAACAAACAACATAAACTCTGGTAAGTCAGCCTTCTCTGTGAGTCACAAAGCGATTCTGAGCACTTTTGTGGGAAGTGTTTCCTGAATGCTTTATTTGATAAAGAGTGCTTTATTTGCTAAGGTGATAGCCAAGTACCTTCTAAGCCAAAGTCACTGTGGTTTCGCAGGCTCAGGTTTTGGCCGTGATGGGTCAGACAAAAGAAGCTGAAAAGATGACCAATCACATTGTGTCAGAGGAGACTGGGTGCCTTGAATGCTATCGCCTGTTGTCTGCTATCCACAGCAAGCAGGAGCAGCACGACAAGGTAGAGAGGACACTGCTTGGAGTCGTTTGGGTTCACAGGTAGAAAATGGGGTGCACCTGAATGACCCTCCAGCCCGCACGCTCACAAGGCCGAGCAGTCTTGAACATCGTCAGTTGGCAGAGCGTATCTTCTGGGCACTTTTCAGATACCTGCTTGATTCCTAAGATGTCCCCTCGAGACGCTATTTTCTTGGTTCATCCTTGGTCTGAAGATTTTATGTGGTATTATCTCAGTTTGTTTTCAGCTAACTCGATAATGATAAACACTAACATTTGTATGCTTTATCATTTTCCATGTTCCCTCAAAGATATTTTATAGACTCTTTATAACAACCCTTTAAGGCAGGTCAGTGGCCCTGTGTTGCAACTGTACTGTTTATCTCCATTTTAAAAGTCACATGACCAGTAAATACATGAATTGATTCAACAAAATATTTATTGAATGCCTGCTATATGCCAGACACTGTGGTGGGCAGTGGGAATAAAGTGGTGTGAGAAAAAAAAAAAAAAAAACATTGCCCTTGTCCTTGTGGAGTTTACAGTCGAAGAGGAGACAGAGATTGAGCAAGTAATCACAAAACCAGTGTGGAATTATAGCTGTGCCCAGTGATGTCGTGAAGAGCAGCATGGTCCCTAATGGGCATATAATCAGGGGACCCAAGTGGTCTGGGTGGTTAGGTTCCCTGCAGAGTGATGTGAAGTTGAGGGCTGAGTGATGAATAGGAGTTATTAAGCAAAAAGGGGCAGTGAATAGCGTTCCAGGCAAGAAAAAGCACATGCAAAGGCCCTGTGTCAACAGTAAATGGCCTGTCTGAGGAATGGGCGTGAGGGAGCAGGGCGCCTGTGAGATGTAGCCACCAAGGTTGCTGGGGACTCAACCCCAAGGCTTGGGACCAGGGCAAGGGTTTTGTTCCTTTTCCTGGAAGAAGCTTTGGGGTCTTAAGGAAAAGAGCAACATATCAGATTTGTGCTTTGAAGGGCTCTCTGGCTGCAGAGGGTGGGCCAGTGGGTGCTGGGGGCAGAGTGAGCACCAGGGCCCTAAAAGGAGGCTGTTGGAGTGCTCCAGATGGACACATGGCCAGGGCAACACAACTGACCTCAGATCTTGTTTTCTTTCAATGGGATCACACGGCCTTCCTGAAAAGTGATCGGGGACATTTCATTGTCACTAATTTAAATAGGAAACCTGGAGTATAGGGAAATTATTTTGTCAGGGCTAATTTATTCCTTGATTAGAACATCAGAGAAAATGAAAAATGTGTTCTGATTGTCACTCACCACACTAGCTAATACATAGGAAACAAAAAGTATAGATGTTATCGTTTAACTTAGTTTTTCTGTATCTAACCTACATTTATAGTGTCTTAATTTCTAAACTGTACAGGCACTTGATGCTATAGACAAGGCTCTGAAGCTGAAACCAAAGGACCCAAAAGTTGTATCTGAACTTTTTTTCACAAAAGGAAATCAACTAAGAGAGCAGAACCTTCTTGACAAAGCTTTTGAGGTATAAAGACTTAATAAAATTGTTATTAAATTCATGGATTAAAATTAATACTCCCTCAATCTTTAATGAAGCATATACATTAAAAGCTAAGATCGTTGCCATGTTTTGTGGAGTGAATTTTCTGATTAATTGACATAATAAGTTTAATTTTTTATAATTGAGCCTCTGGTTTTTGGCTATTAGGAGTTCGACAATACCTCTGCATTATTTTCTGAATTATCACTTTGAACCTGATGTTTAAAGCATTCTGCATTTTGCCCTCAAACCAACTTCCCTCTCTCTCTCTCTCCTCCCCTCGTTCGCTCTTTTTCTCTCTGTTTGCCTTCAGTAACCCTCTATTTCAGCTGGACTAGTGCCTGAAGAGCTTTGGTGTTCCACACATCCTGTAACATTGCGCCCACACCACCCCAACCCCCTGCAGATTCCCACTCATCTACCAACACAGGCCTGTGTCCTCCCTCAGGAAGCCCTCCAGACCATCCTTTCTCCCAGTGACCTTGTTGCCTCTGAACTCCTAAAACAATACCTCTACCAGTCATTTGAAAGTGTCTTTTTTTTTTTTTATACAGAAGGTTCTTATTAGTCATCAATTTTATACACATCAGTGTATGCATGTCAATCCCAATCACCCAATTCATCACACCAGCACTCCCAGCCTCCCGCTGCTTTCCCCCCTTGGTGTCCATACGTTTGCTCTCTACGTTTGTGTCTCAATTTCTGCCCTACAAACCGGTTCATCTGTACCATTTTTCTAGGTTCCACATATATGCATTAATATACGATATTTGTTTTTCTCTTTCTGCCTTACTTCACTCTGTATGACAGTCTCTAGATCCATCCACGTCTCAACAAATGACCCAATTTCATTCCTTTTTATGGCTGACTAATATTCCATTGTATATATGTACCACATCTTCTTTATCCATTTGAAAGTCGATGGGCATTTAGGTTGCTTCCATGACCTGGCTATTGTAAATAGTGCTGCAATGAATATTGGGGTGCATGTGTCTTTTTGAATTATGGTTTTCCCTGGGTATATGCCCGTAGTGGGATTGCTGGATCATATGGTAATTCTATTTTTAGTTTTTTAAGGAACCTCCATACTGTTCTCCATAGTAGCTGTATCAATTTACATTCCCACCAACAGTGCAAGAAGGTACCCTTTTCTCCACACCCTCTCCAGCATTTGTTGTTTGTAGATTTTCTGATGATGCCCATTCTAACTGGTGTGAGGTGATACCTCATTGTAGTTTTGATTTGCATTTCTCTAATAATTAGTGATGTAGAGCAGCTTTTCATATGCTTCTTGGCCATCTGTATGTCTTCTTTGGAGAAATGTCTATTTAGATCTTCTACCCATTTTTGGATTGGGTTGTTTTTTTTTTTAATATTGAGCTGCATGAGCTGTTTATATATGTTGGAGATTAATCCTTTGTCTGTTCATTTGCTTGCAAATATTTTCTCCCATTCTGAGGTTGTCTTTTCGTCTTGTTTATGATTTCTTTGCTGTGCAAAAGCTTTGAAGTTTCATTAGGTCCCATTTGTTTATTTTTATTTCCATTACTCTAGGAGGTGGATCAAAAAAGATCTTGCTGTGATTTATGTCAAAGAGTGTTCTTCCTATGTTTTCCTCTAAGAGTTTTATAGTGTCTGGTCTTTTAGGTATCTAATCCATTTTGAGTTTATTTTTGTGTATGGTGTTAAGGAGTGTTCTAATTTCATTCTTTTACATGTAGCTGTCCAGTTGTCCCAGCACCACTCATTGAAGAGACTGTCTTTTCTCCATTGTATATCCTGGCCTCCTCGGTCATAGATTAGTTGACCATATTTACCTCTGGGCTTTCTGTCTTGTTCCATTGATCTATGTTTCTGTTTTTGTGCCAGTACCATATTGTCTTCATTACTGTAGCTTTGTAGTATAGTCTGAAGTCACAAAGTCTGATTTCTCCAGCTGTTTTTTTTCCCTCAAGACTGCTTTGGCTATTTGGGGTCTTTTGTGTCTCATTACAAATTTTAAGATTTTTTGTCTAGTTCCATAAAAAATGCCATTGGTAATATGATTGAGATTGCATTGAATCTGTAGACTGCTTTGGGTACTAGAGTCATTTTCACAATATTGATTCTTCCAATCCAAGAACATGGTATATCTCTCCATCTGTTGGTATAATCTTTAATTTCTTTCATCAGTGTCTTATAGTTTTCTGCATACAGGTCTTTTGTCTCCCTAGGTAGGTTTATTCCTAGGTATTTTATTCTTTTTGTTGCAATGGTAAATGTGAGTGTTTCCTTAATTTCTCTTTCAGATTTTTCATCATTAGTGTATAGGAATGCAAGAGATTTCTGTGCATGAATTTTGTATCCTGCAACTTTACCAGATTCATTGATGAGCTCTAGTAGTTTTCTGGTGGCATCTTTAGGATTCTCTATGTATAGTATCATGTCATCTGCAAACAGTGACATTTTACTTCTTCTTTTCCAGTTTGTATTCCTTTTATTTCTTTTTCTTCTCTGATTGCTGTGGCTAGGACTCCCAAAATTATGTTGAATAATAGTGGTGAGAGTGGGAAACCTTGTCTTCTTCCTGATCTTAGAGGAAATGCTTTCAGTTTTTCACAATTGAGAATGATGTTTGCTGTGGGTTTGTCGTATATGGCCTTTATTATGTTGAGGTAGGTTCCCTCTATGCCCACTTTCTAGAGAGTATTTCTCATAAATGGGTGTTGAATTTTGTCAAGAGCTTTTTCTGCACCTATTGAGATGGTCATATGGTTTTTATTCTTCAGTTTGTTAATATGGTGTATCACATTGATTGGTTTGCATATATTGAAGAATCCTTGCAACCCTGAGATAAATTCCACTTGATCATGGTATATGATCCTTTTAATGTGTTGTTGGCTTCTGTTTGCTAGTATTTTGTTGAGGATTTTCGTATCTATGTTCATCAGTGATATTGGTCTGTAATTTTCCTTTTTTGTAGTATCTTTGTCTGGTTTTGGTATCAGGGTGATGGTGGCCTCATAGAATGAGTTTGGGAGTTTTCCTTCTTCTGCAGTTTTTTGGAAGAGATTGAGAAGGATTGGTGTTAGCTCTTCTCTAAATGTTTGATAGAATTCACCTGCGATGCCATCTGGTCCTGGACTTTTGTTTGTTGGAAGATTTTTAATCACAGTTTCAATTTCATTACTTGTGATTGGTCTGTTCATATTTCTATTTCTTCCTGGTTCAGTGTTGGAAGGTTATACATTTCTAAGAATTTGTCCATTTCTTCCAGATTGTCCATTTTATTGGCATAGAGTTGCTTTTAGCAGTCTCTTAGGATGCTTTGTATTTCTGCAGTGTCTGTTGTAACTTCTCCTTTTTCATTTCTAATTTTATTGATTTTATTGCTCTCCCTCATTTTTTGATGAGTCTGGCTAATGCTTTATCAGTTTTGTTTATCTTCTCAAAGAAACAGCTTTTAGTTTTGATCTTTGCTATTGTTTTATTTGTTTCTATTTCATTTATTTCTGCTCTGATCTTTATGATTTCTTTCCTTCTGCTAACTTTGGGTTTTGTTTGTTCTTCTTTCTCTAGTTCCTTTAGGTGTAAGGTTAGATTGTTTATTTGAGATTTTTCTTGTTTCTTGAGGTAAGCTTGTATAGCTATAAGCTTCCCTCTTAGAACTGCTTTTGCTGAATCCCATAGGTTTTGGATTGTCGTGTTTTCATTGTCATTTGTCTCTAGGTATTTTTTGATTTCCTCTGATTTCTTCAGTGATCTCTTGGTTATTTAGTAGCGTATTGTTTAGCCTCCATGTGTTTATGTTTTTTACACTTTTCTCCCCGTAATTCATTTCTAATCTCATAGTGTTTTGGTGAGGAAAGATGCTTGATATGATTTCACTTTTCTTAAATTTACTGAGGCTTGATTTGTGACCCAAGATGTGATCTATCTTGGAGAATGTTCCATGTGCACTTGTGAAGAAAGTGTAATCTGCTGTTTTTGGATGGAATGTACTATAAATATCAATTAAATCTATCTGGTCTATTGTGTCATTTAAAGCTTCTGTTTCCTTATTTATTTTCTGTTTGGATGATTTGTCCATTGGTGTAAGTGAGGTGTTAAAGTCCCCCATTATTATTGTGTTACTGTTGATTTCTTCTTTTATAGTTTTTAGCAGTTGCCTTATGTATTGATGTGCTCCTATGTTGGGTGCATATATATTTATAATTGTTATATCTTCTTCTCGGATTGATCCCTCGATCATTATGTAGTGTCCTTCCTTGTCTCTTGTAACATTCTTTATTTTAAAGTCTATTTTATCTGATATGAGTTTTGCTACTCCAGCTTTCTTTTGATTTCCATTTGCATGGAATATCTTTTTCCATCCCCTCACTTTCAGTCTGTATGTGTCCCTAGGTCTGAAGTGGGTCTCTTGTAGACAGCATGTATATGGGTCTTGTTTTTTGTTTGTTTGTTTGTTTTGTTTTTTTGCGGTACATGGGCCTCTCACTGCTGTGGTCTCTCCTGCTGCGGAGCACAGGCTCCGGACGCACAGGCTCAGTGGCCATGGCTCACGGGCCCAGCCACTCCGTGGCATGTGGGATCCTCCTGGACCGGTGCACGAACCCATGTCCCCTGCATCGGCAGGCAGACTGTCAACCACTGTGCCACCAGGGAAGCCCCATGGGTCTTGTTTTTGTATCCATTCAGCGAGCCTGTGTCTTTTGGTTGGAGCATTTAATCCATTCACATTTAAGGTAATTATCGATATGTATGTTCCTATTACCATTTTCTTAATTATTATGGGTTTGTTTTTGTAGGTCCCTTTCTTCTCTTGTGTTTCCCACTTAGAGAAGTTCCTTTAGCATTTGTTGTAAAGCTGGTTTGGTGGTGCTGAATTATCTTAGTTTTTGCTTGTCTGTAAAGCTTTTGATTTCTCCATCGAATCTGAATGAGATCCTGCCAGGTAGAGTAATATTGGTTGTAGGTTCTTCCCTTTCATGACTTTAAATATATCGTGCCCCTCCCTCCTGGCTTGTAGAGTTTCTGCTGAGAAATCAGCTGTTAACCTTATGGGAGTTCCCTTGTTTGTTATTTGTCATTTTTCCCTTGCTGCTTTCAATAATTTTTCTTTGTCTTTAATTTTTGTCAATTTGATTACTATGTGTCTCGGCGTTTTTCTCCTTGGGTTTATCCTGTATGGGACTCTCTGCACTTCCTGGACTTTGGTGGCTATTTCCTTTCCCATGTTAGGGAAGTTTTCGACTATAATCTCTTCAAATATTTTCTCGGGTCCGTTCTCTCTCACTTCTCCTTCTGGGACCCCTGTAATGCGAATGTTGTTGTTTTTAATGTTGTCCCAGAAGTCTCTTAGGCTGTCTTCATTTCTTTTCATTCTTTTTTCTTTATTCTGTTCCACAGCAGTGAATTCCACCATTCTGTCTTCCAGGTCACTTATCCGTTCTGCCTCAGTTATTCTGCTATTGATTCCTTCTAGTGTATTTTTTTATTTCAGTTATTATATTGTTCGTCTCTGTTTGTTTGTTCTTTAATTCTTCTAGTTCTTTGTTAAACATTTCTTGCGTCTTCTTGATCTTTGCCTCCATTCTTTTTCCAAGGTCCTGGATCATCTTCACTATCATTATTCTGAATTCTTTTTCTGGAAGGTTGCCTATCATCACTTCATTTAGTTTTTTTCTGGGGTTTTATCTTGTTCCTTCATCTGGTACATAGCCCTCTGCCTTTTCATCTTGTCTGTCTTTCTGTGCATGTGGTTTTTGTTCCACAGGCTGCAGGATTGTAGTTCTTCGTGCTTCAGCTGAGCCTTTAGTTTTATTTAAGGTGACCACTCCTAAAATCATGACTCAGTGGTGAGCATGCCCTTTGATGCAAAACAACAGGCAAAATATTAAAAGTATACCTCACGGCTCTGACATTTAATGGGATACATGTTATTCAGACCAAAAAAAAAGTATTTGAGAAATAAGTAACTCTCTTCAAACATTTGAAGACCTTTTATAAGGCAGAAGAAAAAGAAAGGCTTTCTAACGATTAAAATTATCCCCTGGTAAAATATATGTCCTTAAAGAGATACTGAACACCAGTCTCTGCAAGAATTTAAGCATGGGCTGAATAATCAGATCAGATTTTGTGAGAGATATAAGGTGTTTCAGAAACTACTCTAAGATTCTGTGATTATAAAAAAAATTTTCTTACAAACTCCATTTATAGTGAAAAAGGCCGAAGAGCACCATTTTCTTGCAGATCGAGGCCAGTGGGAAATGATGCACTGTAATAGAAATCACCTGGACTCCGGGCAGGCACCTTCAGCCTTTTTAAGTCCAGAGGTTAGCTCTGCAAGGAAACTACACATTTCAGTTTCCTCCACTTTAGAATCATCAACTTAGAAAAATAATAGAAATAAAGGGGACATCTGTGAACTAGATGACTGTTCATTTTATTAACCATTTTAATTTCCACATATGAAGAAAATGGTTTCCACAATCTGTAGTGTTAAAGATGGGTTCTCGTTTCCCAGCCTGAAGATATTTCTTATGTATTTAGAGCTATAAAGTGGCCGTGGAATTAAATCCAGATCAAGCACAGGCCTGGATGAACATGGGTGGAATCCAGCACATCAAGGTAAGAAAATAATTCACTTCCATGTGAACCAGGTTTTCCCTTTGTATTTTCTCTTTCTTCTCTTTTAAAAGATTGAGAAACTATTGTTAATTTCCTCTTTGAATTAATTGAATACTGAAAACATAGGTGTTCAAAAATGTAATTAGACAGTTTTATGTTCACTTTGTATTATCTCCATATTGAATATCATGAATCCATTTAAAAACTAAATATATAAATTAGATTTCATGATTTTGTTTATCATAAAGAAAATCATATGTACTTAAGTATCATCACAGAGCAGAGAAAATCTGCTATAGGAAGTAAAATTCTGTTGGCGCTACGCTGATGTAGCTTATTTTCCTGTGGCTTAACTCATTGTCAAGATAAAGTATTACCATTTCCTATACTTAATGTATCTTTTATTCCCTGACCTACTGAAAAACAAGGCTGTTTGTTTGTTCTCAAAAGAAAAAGCTACCTTTGAGTGAATAATTGAAAATTACCCTTGGAGGACTACTGTCTATAATGAAATCAAAGATTCACTGGCATTCATTCATTCATCCAATTCATTTGACAAGCATTTATAGAGAATATCCTATGTGCCAGGTACTCTTCTAGGTACCAACAATACAGCAATTAACACATAAGACAAAAATTTCTATCGTCAGGCTTCCCTGGTGGCGCAGTGGTTGAGAGTCCGCCTGCCGATGCAGGGGACACGGGTTCGTGCCCCGGTCTGGGAAGATTCCACATGCCACGGAGCGGCTGGGCCCATGAGCCATGGCCACTGAGCCTGTGCGTCCGGAGCCTGTGCTCCATAACGGGAGAGGCCACAACAGTGAGAGGCCCGGGTATCACCAAAAAAAAAAAAAAAGTGAAAAAAATTTCTATCGTCATGGAGCTAACATTCTAGTTAGGGGGAAATAGGCAATAAGTAAATAAACACATACATACATACATACATACATAGAATATATCAGATGGTTATAAGTGCTATGGAGAATAAAAGAATGAAAGAAGATATGGAGTGCTGGGGGTAAGAACTGAAATTTTAAACTGAGGTGGTTAGGGAAGGCCTCAGTTAAAAAGTGATGTCTGGGGCTTCCCTGGTGGCGCAGTGCTTGAGAGTCCGCCTGCCAATGCAGGGGACACGGGTTCGTGCCCCTGTCCAGGAGGATCCCACGTGCCGTGGAGCGGCTGGGCCCGTGAGCCATGGCCTCTGAGCCTGCGCGTCCGGATCCTGTGCTCCGCAGCGGGAGAGGCCACAGCAGTGAGAGGCCCGCGTACCGCACCAAGAAACAAAAAAAAAAAAAAAAAAAAAGTGATGTCTGAGTAGAGATCTGAAGGGAGCAAGCCACTTGGCAAAATAGGGAAAGTGCATGTGCAAAGGCCCTGAGGTGTGAGTGTGCCAGTGTATTTGAAGACTAGGGAGAAGGCAAATGAGAGGAAATGATAGAAGCTGGGTCAGAGAGGTCACAGGGCCAGATGATGCAGGGCCTTGAAAGGAATTGTAAAGTCTTCAGCTTTCATGCCAAACAAGTTGGGGTCCTTGGAGGACTTTGAGCAGAGAAATGCCATGGTCTGACATGTTTTGAAAGGATCACTCTTGTTTAGCTAACTTATTTTCAGGCTTCTATCAGTCTTTACCCTGACAAAATAGCGAGATAGTGATTAGAATTTAAACAAAGGCTAAATAGGGTTTACGATTAAGTGGGAACTGCTCACTCTGAGAAACACAGTAAAACAAAAAGGTGATCCATGACTATACAGATGGGAGGGGATAATGGGATAGTTACTCTGCAACTATTAGCCTTGATCTAATAGAGGAACATTGATGGCAAATCCAGTCATGACATCTATCAGAGCCCAATAAACCAAGCTCTGATCTTAATGACATTCTAGGGTGTCCAGCAGTATCTAGTTGGGAAACATAGAATGAACTTACTTTTAAAAACAGTAACATAATAATTTTAAATATTTAAATAATATATTAAATAGTTGCACTTTCAGATAATACACTTAATATGTTTTTAGATGGAGTGCACCTGCATTTAAAGAAATGGGTTCAATTGTTAATTAGATAAAGTACAATAAATGCACTCAAGAGTGTTCATTAAGTCTGGAAATAAAGAGAAAATAGTACATTTATTGAACTCTTTCAGATTAACAAGTGAACCCATTGCTTTAAATTTAGAGGTGCTTCCCCTGCAAAGGTATCTGGAGATTGAAGAAGGATCTACTGAGTGTATTATTTCAAAATATAACAAACACACTGATTAAAAATTAGTTTATCTTTTTTCATCTTGTGGCCATAATGTATTAGGTTGAACAATATAAAATTGCCATGTTTGTAATTTTAAAATGTTTAATTTTAAATGTAAATTCATATGATGCAATCCAATACAAATATATGATGCAATCCAATACAAATATATAGACCATAGATGCAATCCAATACAAATATACAAATATATATGGGTGTAGTCATTTTGATGTCACCGTTAGGGTGCAGGATTATCATTATGATGCCTTCAAGAACAACCATTAACTTTCTGTGACCTTTGCATTGCCAGGAAGTGCATGCATCAAGCAGTGTTATCCCATTCCTGGGCCGCACTGAGCCTGAGCCTGGGTGAAGCTTAGGAAGGACTGAGGGCTGTGCAAGGCTGAGAGTTGGAATAAGGCTTTGCAAGGAGATGACACAAAGAGAGAGAAAAAGAGACTTGACTCTTGCTCATACTACTTGGAAATAAAAGATGATATTTTTCATGAAGTTTTATGTAAAATGAAATGGATGGACTAAAAAAGTTACAGTACATTCTTTTTTTTTTTTTGCGGTACGCAGGCCTCTCACTGTTGTGGCCTCTCCCGTTGCAAAGCACCGGCTCCGGACGCGCAGGCTCAGCGTCCATGGCTCACGGGCCCAGCCGCTCCGCGGCATGTGGGATCTTCCCAGACCGGGGCACAAACCCGTGTCCCCTGCATTGGCAGGCGGACTCTCAACCACTGCGCCACCAGGGAAACCCCTACAATACATTCTTTATAATCAAAGAGTTGCATCACCTGGGCCATATCACAAAGTACTATTTTCAATCCTGCCTTATGACATTAATGCATTTTCTAGAATGGAACTGGCCAATAGAACTTTCTGAGATGACGGAAATGTTCTATGTCTGTACTGTCCAAGGTAGTAGCCACTATCCCCACATGGCTAATGAGCACTTGAAATGTGCCACTGAGCAACTGAATTCTTAATTCATCATAATTAACTTACACTTAAATAGCCGCATATGACTAGTGGCTATCATAGTAACTAGCACATTTCTAGAAATTGGATAATTCAAATTCCCTATCTAGCATCTGGAAATCAAGGACATTGAATTAAGGGCTATAACTTGTTTTAAAAATTAAGGCTTCCAGGGCTTCCCTGGTGGCGCAGTGTTGAGAATCCACCTGCCAATGCAGGGGACACAGTTTCGATCCCTGGTCCGGGAGATCACAGATGCTGTGGAACAACTAAGCCCATGCACCACAACTACTGAGCCTGTGCTCTAGAGCCTGTGAGCCACAACAACTGAAGCCCACGTGCCTAGAGCCTGTGCTCCACAACGAGAGAAGCCACTGCAATGAGAAGTCCGCGCACCGCAACGAAGAGTAGCCCCCACTGGCCGCAACTAGAGAAAGCCCACGCGCAGCAAGGATGACCCAACACAGCCAAAAATAGACAAATAAAATAAATAAATTTATTTTTTAAAAATTAAGGCTTCCAGGGCTTCCCTGGTGGCACAGTGGTTGAGAGTCCGCCTGCCGATGCAGGGGACAGGGGTTCGTGCCCCGGTCCGGGAGGATCCCACATGCCGCGGAGCGGCTGGGCCCGTGAGCCATGGCCGCTGAGCCTGCGCGTCCGGAGCCTGTGCTCTGCAACGGGAGAGGCCGCGACAGTGAGAGGCCCGCGTGCCGCAAAAAAAAAAAAAAATAAGTCTTCCAGTTGCATGAAGAAAAGAGCAACTTGAGGGAGAAAATAACTCTATGATAGGTCTTTTTGTGAAAGGACAGAGAAAGCTGGTGATCAGAGGAGATGCCTGGCACCAGGCTAAGACCTAACTTCAGAGAAACCTCTTGGGAAACCGATTTCAAAATCAACCGCAGTAGGAACACAGTTTTGAGAGCAATCTAAGAGCCACAGATGTTCAGTTATCTGCACCTATGTGCTAAGCTTAATAAACATCAGGAGACACTCTGAAGATAAATACTTGAATTGAAAACAATAGTAATGTCACTAAATCCAGGTTCTCATTTGTTCAGAAATCTGTTCAGCCTCTTATCAGAATCAGTGTTAATAATCAGAAATATTTTCATTTGTGCACATGCCAGCTCCTGGATTCCCAATGTGCAGTTATCTGTTCTGTCATTTTTACACTCCTTTTCACCGGTATGACAAGTGAATACCATAAGAAATAGGCAGTGTTTACTCATTTACACGTAAATAGTCATTTAATAATAACAACAATGACAGCATCGGATTGAGTGCTCATTATATGTGAGGCAGGGTCTGAGGTCTTGACACGTGTTCATTCACTTGGGAGGTAATTAAGCATTCAACAATATAGGTCGCTATTGCTACATAGTACTTTCACTCCAAGAGGTACTACTTTAAATTGTGGTGGAAATTTAGAGAGTAACTAGTTTTCATCCACACGGAGCTGTAACTGAGAATAAAGCACAGCAGATGCTTGTTTTTGTGGAATGGAGAGATCTCTACCGATCTTGGTTCTGAGACTTAGCAGCACACAGATATGAAAGGGGGTTGACCATACGGAAGGAATACATTTAGTGGCAGAAAAGAGGCTGGAAAAAAGTTAGTAATTCTGACTAGTTTGTCAGTGACCTTCTGGGACTAGGCACGCATGGTTGCCAGTTAGGGAAGCATTGAACAAACCAGATGGGGGCCAACAGAGGGGTCTTTAGCAGGTCGAGTGACATACCTTCCCCCCCCGGCCTTTAGAGTATCCAGCAGACATATTGTCACACACCTTGAGTATGGGATAAATTTGACTCCATATTATTTATTATCAGTTCTTTTTATTTTATAAAAACTTAGATTTGCATTAAAGCCTGTATTAGGCAAAAGTTGCTTTTATGTTTTAAGGTGAAGATTAAAATACTTCCTACCACTAAATAGCTGTAGTGGACTCCTGAACTATTTACTTTTTAATCATTACTCTTGAAATTTCAAAAACACCTCTCTCTCTCTCTTTCTCTCTTTCACATACCCACACCCACACACACACACATACACATGCACACACACACATACACAAACACACACCCCTCTCCCCCAACCCAACCCTCTTTCTGTCCTCCTCCCTCTCAATATGAATTTCCAGTGCGTTGGCTCCACTTGATTACAAAGGAACAGTGCTAACCCTATGAGAGTGCTATGAAATTATAGCTTCATACCCTGTATTAGTAGAATTGGAAATCTGTTTTGCTGCCATTTAACCTTATCCTTCACATTCTCCATCTGGTCTGGTACTTAAAACAAATGGATTCTCAAAGGCACCAACAGATAAGGATAAAATTACACATGCAGACAGGGTCTCCTTATGAGGATGTTAATGTTAAAATGGACGAGAAGGTCTGTTTTTTATCTGATGGATCAGAATATAATTATTCTCTTTCTTTTTCTCAACAGGGAAACTACGTGTCTGCAAGAGCTTATTATGAGAGAGCCTTACAGCTGGTTCCAGACAGCAAACTGCTGCAGGAAAATCTTGCCAAATTGGATCGTCTAGAAAAAAGATTACAAGAAGTTCGAGAAAAGGATCAAATGTAGCAGCATTTGACCAAGTCTCCAAGGGACAGTACTGGTGCCTTTGGAAGAGGAAGAACTGACAGACGGAAGCCTTGCTTACACATCAGTTGGGGCACAACCGATGAAGTTTTCCTCTTACTCGAGTTCAGGGTGGCACATTTTGGGACACTTGCTGGTAACCCTGTGCTGGGGACTTGCATTTCCATGAAAGAAGACAAAGAGAGCAAAGCAAGGGCTGGAAGGGCCTGAAGGAAGGAAAACAGCAGCTACACGTTTGACAGACGTTTGTTTGCTTTAATTCCAGATTTCCATTCATATGTCTGTCTGATTTTCCAACCTGGAAATCTAATTCCATTTCTTAGTGTAGATATTTGTGTCTCAGAAACAGAGGCTTGAAATGCCATGAGTGCATGGCATCTCTTCTTTAGGAGAGGAGCTATTTCAGAGAGGGTAAATCCTCTGGGATAAACCATTGGAGAAATTCTACCAAGAGGTAGCTCATTTAATTCTCCAGAACTAGAAATGAGTATCTAACAGTGTTTGTAAAAACCTTCTGGAATATATGGGGAAAGGGGCTATTGTAAGATAAAGCTAAGTAAGGTTTGTCTAATATCCTTCTGAGGATAGTGCTAGAGCCCTATTGAGAAGTAAATTAAATTCCACTCTGATACAAGCTGTTTTCCCATTGCCTAATATGTCAAAAAGGAAGCTTCTGGAATTGTGTATGAGTATTCTTATTCCTAGGGAAAAATCAAGGGTCTTGCTACCCCTGACTCTTCATGGAAATGTTTTAAATTAATTTTATTACAAGTATTACTAGAGTAGTGGTTCTGCTCTAAGATTTCATAAGTGCTTTTAAAACTCGTAAATGTTTCTGCCTCCAAATATATTGTTATTTTGGTGGAGAAAAAAATAGTATATTCTACATGAGAAATATTAAAGATATTAATTGAGAGAAATGTTCTACTTTATTATCTTAACACTCAGACGTTCTGAGATTATTTTTTGAAAATATATTTAACCACTGAGGAATCTTTATGGTAGATTACAGAAATCTTCATAGACTCTAAATAGATGGACAGCTCTATTGATTTGTCTTCCTAGGCTTAATGAGAATTCTGTGCTTAGAACATGAATGATAGAACCTGCAGTTCCTGGTTCTGTGTTTGTAATTTTGGAGATTTCATGGAGAATGCTCAAAAAATCTAGGAAAAAAATGTCTAAATTCATAACTTTAAAATATATATTTATAGTTAAAAGATAGGGATGGCAAAGTTGAATTTACAATTTGTCTTTTAGTGTTATTTATTCATAACTTATAAAATATTTAATATATACACACTTTTTTCCCTGTACATAGTGGTTTTAATAGCAGTTTTCACAACTGATCATACAAAAATTATAGATCTAAATTACAAGGTAGTTAAGTTTTAACAGCCCCTAAAAAAATTTGTCTTGACTCTTCACTTGCTAAAGCTAAAGAAATTAGGAATCAGCCTTCAGTGTTTGGGAGGTAATATATTTTGAAATTGAAGGAATTGGAATACTGATTCTCATTTGGTTTTCATCATAAACTTAAAAAAAAAACAAAAACCCACTCTGGTCAGTGCTGTTCCTGGCTAAGCCAGGTGTCATACACATGTAGGAGCCTGAAGACACGCGTATGTCACACGCTCAGGCCAGAGCAAGAAGCCTCCTGCTTCTTTTCAACCCCAGTATCAGAGACCACTGCCTCTCTATGTTGTTATTATTATTTTTTTGTCAAGGTAAATCTAGATAAAAGGAGGAAAAACTTCTTTGGAAAGGGATGATGCCAGGAATATTTTAAATGCAAAGGATTACGGAATTTGAATTAGCAAATTCTGTTTGTGTGTATTCTGTTTGTGTATATCAATAATCCAATAATGTATATAGTACCACTCTGCTCTTCTGTTTCTAATAGTCTTTTAATGTTATATATCATAAATGTATCCAAAATTTCATTTAAAATATTTTTATTCCCTCCCAAATTATACTTCTGTAGCCCTAAGGTCAAGAAATGTACTAAAGTATTTATTGTAAAATAACTACTCCATCCCCAAAATGAAAAACATGAAGCCCTAGCTAAAAACAATATCTAGGACTTTAATTACAACTTTTTAGTTTTAGTGTAAAAAAAACTCATACTTAGAAAGTTAACGGAAAAGATAGAGCCCCAAATTTTGAAAAGCAATTACGCCTTACTTGAAGGGCTGCTAAAGATCGGCGAGTACATTTGTTGGAATAATTGAAATGGCTATTTCAGCCTAAAAGTTTCTGAGAGAAAATGGTCACTGGCCTTCAGGAGACTTCTCCTGCCTTCTTTTGGGTGCTTTTCTCTCTTCCTCTGTTCTCTGTCTCTCTATTTCTCTCTGCCCCTCTCTCTCCTGCCCTCTCTCCCTCGCCCCTTCTCTCTCTCCCCCTCCCTCTCTCTGTCTTTCTCACTCTGTCACTCTGTCTCGTTCTTTCTGCACTCACTGGCATCTCTTTGAACATTAAAAGTAAGCCTGTTTGTTGGACCAGATATTTCTGTCCTGAGTTAATACTTTCACTTATATGTGGCCAGTGAAATACTTTCCATAGTTGAGTGGTGCCTATAAGAAAATAAATCACGTATTATTTTTCAGAGATATTAAGTGTATTTTATAACTATTTTTATTTGCTCTTATAACATGAAATAATATGTGGAATTCATCCTTATCAAAACGAAAGTGGAGCGCCCTGGCTACTCATGGAGATGCTTCCAGGTTCCCTTAACAGAAGCATGCTTGGCTGTGAGTTGATAGCCCCTTTCTGAGATGGAATTGCAAAGCCAGCTTTGTGGACGTGCAGTCTCTGTAGACCCTCAGAGTCCTGCACTCAGAAGCACCTTGTGTTTGGTTGAATTCTCTGCTTGAAGTTCTCAGTAATTTTTGAATAATTCCATTTTGCACTGGGTCGTGGGTAGGAGGGAAGGTAGCTGAGAACAAGACAGGAGTTGCTTCAGTCTAGCTGAACACTTGATCTAATGAGCAGAGTTTCATTTGTGACTGTTACCCTGTGCAGCATTGGCTATTTTGTCTCAGCTAACTTAGAGTTCCTTGTGTACATATATTCCCCTCCTACTGCCAGTCTATCTAACCTGTCCTTCTGTCTGACCAGAACCAGTTCTCCTTGCCTTCAAATTCTCCAATAAGTGGCAGTCCTTTCACATGTCCTTCGACATGGAGCCACGAGAATGGCTTTACAAGTTTATGTTAACCTTAAGAATTATTCAGGATTTTAAAACTGATTCAGATGTTTTCAACCTGTTAACGGCATTCGTAAAACATGGTTCAGTGATGTAACGTAAGTGAACTAAACCAAAGATTTAAATACCTTGGAGGAAAAGAAATTTTATTTTAGGGACTCCTGAGATATATCTTTTAGGCCTATTTATTTTGCAGCCCATCAAAAAACAAAGAGGATTATCAGCGCTTTGATTCCAACTCCCCACAGTACTTCACAGCCCCCAGTGTACGAGTCTGACGTGCCTAACACGTGGTACCTCGGTTTGGTGCAGGGTTTTGCAGTGGTTGTGCAACTGCGTTTCAACAGGACTGAGAAAATCCAAACCTTTCCATACAGGGTTTTGTATCGCCTCTATTAAACATTCCAGGCCTCCCGGATTGAAGAGCCGGGTTCAGCTGATAGCTGAGGTCTCACCCCTCACACACAGGTGCTTTGGCCCTGGTGGATTTGAGGATAACCTGCGTGCACACCTTTAGGAATCCCTGGACCCTGGCCACCCAGGTTATGATTCTAATGTGCAGTGAGGCATTTGACCTTTATATTTACAGAATTCTTGGTTCTCAGATGGAGAGGGATTGCTTGCCATTTGCACGTCCCAGACGAGGCACCCGGTATATAAAACTCATATTGTTTATGACTCATAGAAGGGCCCATGACATAGAGCCATGTTCTCTATGCCTCTCTCTTTCTTTAGGTTACACATGTCAGCTTTCGCTAATTATTTCTTAATTGTACTCATTAGAATCAGTTTTTAAAAAAAAACAACAAAAAAACTTTTTCTCTGATTTGTGACGGATTTGCACCTTAGATCAATAAATCCAGAGGGTATTAGTAATAACACTCAAAGCAAATGTAGTTATAGGTGTTCTGTTTATTTTAATTTTTTTCCTGGTTTCTGAATCACATTTACTTTGATTAAATTGTATGTTGGTATCTCCCAATAATAGCAAAACTTAACTATACAAATGGCATCTTTTGGCATTTTAAAAGTAAATACCTGTCAAATCTTGTATTTAGGCTATAATTGAATAGGATGAAAACTTACAATGCCAAAAACTATGGAGAAATATAACTGTTTATGATTATGATTATTCTTGAAGTTTTCAATGTGAAAAATATGTTGAACAGTTCTTCCAAAAATAGCACTTCCTTATTTTTCTTTTGGTAGTCATATAACTTAAAGAGAAGAAATAAAATAACTTCAATCAAAGCTATGGTTTACTGTCAGTAAAATAAAATGTCACAACAGAATCAATATCTATCAATTGGCTCATATAAAAATGTTCCATTTTTATCACCAAGGATCCTTTCCATTAAAACCTTTAGGGCATATAACTTGTAAAATTAGCACCCATCATAATATGCTGTCATTATCAGTTTGTAAGTTTAGATCAGCATTTACCACAAACTGAAAAGAGGTGTCTATGTCCAGAAATCCAGGAGTTTTTTCCCATTCTCAGTGGGGCACGAGGTGCATATTTGTATCACTTTAGACTTTTCCAATGTGCATAATGTCCTTCTGGGGTTGTGTTGCTGGTCCATAGGAGGGGTGACCCAGTCCAAGAACCAGGAGATCTGGATTCTAGTCCTGCTCTGCCACCGAGGTGCCGCCTCACCTGGGACAAGTTATCAGGTGTCTCAGTCATGTTTATTGTTCGTTAAAGGAGTGGTTACTCCTATGGACCTATCCAGCTCTGTGAGTCCCCTGAATCCAAATGCAAAGCCCTCTGCCTCTGAAGAGATAACTGATAAGTGTTGCCCTTCGTTTTAGAAATTCTTAATCATTGCAGCAAAACACATTCACAAACAACCCTAAAAGTGACTGAACTGCCCAAGTACTTTACTATGGCAGAGGTAACTACTCTTATTTTGCAGTCTGTACATATAAAAATTAGCGGTTTTTTTACGTTTCTAAGGAAAAGAGATTTTAAAAAATTTCCTCCAAAGGAACTAAAATATCTGTATTTTAGCCCCATGGCTTGCTTTTACAATGTGGAAATCATTTGACTTGCTGTGACTCACCCATCCCTCCTTTTGTCAGAGGAAAATACTTACATCATGTTCTTGATCAGTTGTATATAAATGTACATTTTTGTTACTTTTGCTGTGCCAGTTAGAAATATATCTCCCATAAAGTATTTCTCCCATTTAAGTCTGATTATGTACACTTTGCCTAGATCTTTCCAAAATAAAATTTATGTAAATGTCTATTTTATATAAAATATGATGAAAATAATTATGTCTTGTTTCAATCTCTCAAGTGCTCCGTGATTAGTACCCACTGAAATCCATGTCACCAGTAGGTGCCTGCTTTAAAAAGAAAAAGAGAGTATCCTTCTTCCTTTCCCCATTCATTCATTGCATTGTTCTGTGTGCTTTATGTCTGCTCTCTTTTTCATATCCCACAACCACTGTTTTCAGTGCTTACCCATTCCAGATCTTTTCCCCTCATCTTACTGAGATGCCTTCACCTCTTTCTTTATGGAGTAAATACAAGGTAGAAAACCCTCAATATCCTGCACTCAGTCATCTACAAACTTAACCTGCACCCAATTCTCCCCTCTCTCCTGTTGCTACAATGAAAGAAGAGGGCCCTCGGCCCTAGATTATCACATCTTGTAGAAATTCATTCCATTCTTTAATCTCTTTCTTCTTCCTTAACTTCTTCCTTTTTCTGGCTCTCATCAATTCTGTTCTATTTTAAAAACACAGATACAGGGCTTCCCTGGTGGCGCAGTGGTTGGGAGTCCGCCTGCTGATGCAGGGGACGCGGGTTCGTGCCCCGGTACGGGAGGATCCCACGTGCCACGGAGCGGCTGGGCCCGTGAGCTGTGGCCGCTGAGCCTGCGCGTCCAGAGCCTGTGGTCCGCAACGGGAGAGGCCACAACAGTGAGAGCCCCGCGTACCGGAAAACACACACACACACACACACACACACACACACAGATACAGGTAGCCACCATCAAGATCACTTGAAAACAATCCTTCCTTTATTCCTTTTCACCTCTAGCTGCTACTGCATCTCTTTATGTCCTTCACAGCCAGACTATTTTGAATAAATTGTCTTCACTCATTCTTTCTACTTGCATCCTTCACAT